CTGCCTTCATAAACGAGAGAAACAGTCAGAGGTGACTAGCCTAGCTATCCCACCATAGCAGACCACCGGCTAACTTAGCAAGTGACGCTAATGTTTGATTTACTGTATAAAGAGTTGAACATTATCAGATTTTAGGATTAAATCTAAGTAAGTGTTCGATTAAAACTGCTGGCACGTCAAATAAACCAAGTATTACTCACCAAACGCGCTTTGAAGCCTCCGAAGTTTCCAGAATCCGCTCTGAACGCTTTTCCCGCTCAGCTGAACGTTGGTGAATCGCGCGCGTCGCTGCAGCGCAGGCGCACTCGGGCAGCCTCGAAACGGGTGTAGTCAGCCCGCCTCAGTACGGGCGCTAATTGTCAGTTTACGTAGCTCTTCATGCTGTTTCAATGGGCGGCAAACAAGTTTTTCTCCGCAAACTTACCTGTTACTATTATTGTTTCTGTTGTTTGCTATTTTTAACATATACATTTATAGTTTTTAAGTGCTCTTATGATCAAAATATAAAAAATGGCAATAAATTAACAATAATAATGATCATATTTGTAAAGCAAGATGATTAAGACATTATGTTGATTTAAAGTTGAAATTTCAACGTTGATTTATGAGTATTTTGTTAACCATTTCACAACTATTTAACATTAACGGTTGTTTCAATGTTTTTTCAACGTTGAAACAACAACTGACATTATTTCAACCACATTTCAACGTTGAAGGTCGGTCATGTGCCAGCTGGGTCATTGTCATGGAAACTGTAAAGATAAGCCCCTTATGACTTTCCCTGCTCCACTGTCAGTTTGAAATAAGATCTAAAGCAGATCTTACCAACTCATAAAAAAACAATGTGCAAAAAGAGCCCAGATTAGACATGTAGCTGCAATAAATGTAAAAATATTGACTGATATATGCTGATATTATCCAAAGCAGCTATAATTGTATAATTATATGTACAAATGTGGTGAGAAGATATTGGTTTATTCTAGAAAAATATGAAGTGATCAGTGTTTGGTAGATTAACAGCTGGCAGGAGTGTCTATGCTGGGGGTGGGTTTTTGCTGTAGGAATCATCATTTGTGATGTTTTTGAGAAATTAACCATTTTATTACCTCTGGTGCCACTTAGCCCCCCATCAATGTGTAAAAATGCAAAATGGTCTATTTGGTTTGTGCTCATTTGTGCTGTTAAAAATAAATATTTGTGCTATTTTAATTTTCAAGTTGTTAAGCAATAAGATTTGACGTGTGATGTCACCCAGCCCCCCCATTAATGTCCAAATCATGCCAAAATGGCCACGTTCATTTGTGCTGGTTTGTGCTGCTAAAAATATTTTGTGCTGTTTTACTTTGTAAGTTATTATCCTGAAGATCTGAGACATGTGCTTTTTTTGACTCCTGAACCAGTATCCATGATTACAAGTTATCTACCTTTTTAAGCTTTAATTATTCAGCTTTATAGTAGCATTGTGTAGAAGTCAAGAGGTGACTAAGAGTAATGATTAAAAATTAGTATTTCACTGTTTAAAAGCACATTTTTGAAACGAATCAAGCAACAGTGTTATTGTAAGAGCATTTTTTGAGGAACACAAGCATTTATTTCAGTGTTTTGATGGCTCATGTGTACTAATGTTATTTTTTGACTTGTTAAGATGCTTACCAAATGTCAAAGAAGAATTTATCGGAACCACCAAGAACACAATAGAATTTAAAAGTGACCTATGTGGGGTTAATCAAGAATTTTCATTAAAAAAAAAAAAGAAGATTAAACTTCAATTTATTTCTTCAATTTATTTCTTACAAACATGCAAAATTTCAAAGCTGTGCTCCGATTACTTTTTGAACACCAAAATGAAAAGAACACAGTAACATTAATAGTCTCTCGTTGTTGCCTTAGTAGCAATCATTTTTACTGATTTGGATTGCTCGGATACTTACTGAAATATTTTACTGTAATAAATGTACACTTTTATGTATTTGGTTAGTGCTTTATACAATTTTAAGTTTCTATCTAGGCCTCCATATACCAAGAAGGCAAGCTTCACTCCTGATGTGTGCCATTTCAACACTGTCAGTAACTCACTACAGATGTTTTTTATAAATGTTGTGTAAATGTAATACATTTGTATGAATATTTTAATCAAAATTTTTTAGCCCCTTTTTGAGCTCCATTTTTCTTACAAACATCACTATTAACTGTAAGGGCTTTTAAAATGATATTTGATTTGTTATCTTAAAAGGTACTTTGAAGTGTTTAAGTTACTATTTTTGCAGTGTATACTGTCTAAAGCTCAAAGCACTTTATTTTTTATAATGTTCTAATGTTCAATTAATGTAAGTTGTGAGTAAGAGTTGTATTCTTATAATTTTTCACGTTACAAACACCAGATTTATGGGAAATAAATATTGGCCCCCACTATTGGTTATCGGTGTCCCGAATTATTAATAATCAGTATCGCATCAGCCCTGAAAAAAAAAATATTGGTCCAATTCAATGGTCAACCATTAAATAATGCAGACAAATTGAAAAATTTATGGAATTCCCCCTTAATGACATCTCGTTAACAATCTACAGAATATTGAAAGGTAATTCCTCATCCCACACTCTCTCTGTAAAAACACTAGAAACACATATAAAATTTATTTACCCATGTCATGGTTATAGTGTGTAAAAAGGTGTAACACTTTCTCCCACATACAGCAAATCTTTTTTCCCTCTCAATTACACAACACGTAAAATCCCATAAATCCATATGAATGTATATACTTTTGTATTCTGCTTGTTCACCTCTTATGTGTTCTCATCTCTCTGTTAGATAAAGAAAAGTAAAATAAAGGAAAGGAGGGGAATGGTGGTGTTGCAGATATTGGTTTGGGTTTGAAAAACAAAACACACAAAAAAAAAAAATAGTGAGCCAGCTGGCTAACTTACGTCTACTAAATGCTAACTTAGCTAACTTTGACATTCAATTTCTAATATTCTCCCAAGATGGACAGAATGACTGATCAATGATCTGTGTTTTCTTGAACACAGCTTTTAGTTAGATCGTTTTCTTTTTTGTAGAGACTATAATTTAGCTAGTTAGCTACCTAACTATCTAAGATTAACAATTGCTGCTAAATAATTGCTTCTTGGATGAAAAAATATAAAAATTTAAAAGTATATTTTAAATTAGTTGGTAGTATTAATAAATTGTTTAAAAGCTCTGACTGCTCATTTAACCTGGCTTTATAGCCAAACTGCTGAGACCTCTGAACAGCTTATTGCTGACCTTGTGGACTTCTGTAAAAATGAATTTTGATTGGCTGTCCCACAACCCCTTAGTATGAGATTATCATATTACTGTGGGATTATCATTCCGAAACATTTTACTTTTTAATAATACAAACTCTACAATACTTGTTAAAAAAAAACACCACATCAACACTTAGCAATTTCATCAGTTTTGATGAAAATGTCAGCTAGAACCTTCTAGAAATTCTAAGGCCAAGATTTATTGCTGAAGGGCACCTCCATGCAGCTAGTGATGAAACATGGTAAACCACAGTGAAATTCCACATGGTTACTATTAACATTTCAAACTTTATCATTAAAATTGCACTTTGAAAAACTCATGTCCAGCATCAACCAAAGTTAGCAACAATCTCCCAGACACAGACGCACAGGGGCAGCATGCAATGTGGGTTTGTTTTATGTCAATGTAAACATTGTGGAAGCCAATCACAGTACTCCGGATATTTTTCATTTTTTTAAGAGGACTTAGTCTGAAGTGTGCTTACATTTTGGGTTTTATAAGAGTGCAGAGGTTACCAATTATTTCCACCTTTTCAGTCAATGGTGATTGTAGCCAGAGTTAAAATTTTGTTTTGTTTTTTTTTAGACCACAATACTTGATTACAAAAATGACTGATTTATCTAAGCATTATTTGTATGCTTCAGACATTTGTGATGAGATGATAGTTAATATTACCTTCTGATAATCTTTCCATGTAGACAATCTTTGTGCAGCAACACTGCACAGTAGGCCAGTGCATCACTGTTTCTGTGCCAGCCAGCTCTTCCTGCTTTAACGGTGAGGTAGGGGTTTTGCTTTGCATACCTGGCCAGTCTACAGGCCAGTCAACAGTTGTTCTTTAATTTCTTAAAGCCATTTCAGACAGTAAAATGTGTAAGCAGGAAGTATTTAGATATACTTTATATGCTTCTTTTGCTTTGTAAGAGTCAGTTATCGTTAGTTTCAGATTCTCAGTAAGCTACTTGTATGCGCCCATGACTGTGAACTGCAAATACCTTAAGAGGTTTGAAGGATCACTTAATTTATTATGCTCTGAAATTGTCTATACATGAATTGAATTAAGGCTTAGTGAATCAATTATGCTCTGAGACATTACCAAAAAATGTATGTAGCAAAATATAACAACCTTTTAAAGCTAAGGGTCCAGTAATATTCAGTGGAAAAATGGACATAGAGTAAAATGTATAGAGTTTGTAGTCATTTTCTTAACCACAGGACGTGATGGTGGCTGTGTTTGAATAATCCAAGTCATTTTTGCCATGGAGAAATCCAGCTTAGACACAGATTTTCCAACATGACAACACGATTTCAGTGTTCTATATGTCTGTTTAAGGAGTTTGATTAATTGGAAGATCTGGAAGTTCTTCTTTCTTTACACTTTCCTGACAGTTGATGTAAGTGGAGCGTTCGTGATTTGGATCAGACTCCTTTGATTGCCCAGTCATTTTAGATTTTCTTTTTTTTTTTTTTCTTCCAGAAATGAATGACGTCTTCTACTGCCCTTCCCGACTCATTTTAAATCAGGACATTGCAACAAGAGGAATGTTAAGCTGTTGACAAATATAGGAATATGGCACCCAGAAGACGTTCCGGTACTCAGCAAACATCATCTGAGGCGCTCCACATGAGCACATCTCACAGACAAACACAGAAACACAGCAAGGAGAGAACTCACTACTGCTTAGAGTGTGGAAGGAGTTTTACTCAGCAGAGTCATCTCGGTATACACCAGCGCATTCACACAGGAGAGAAGCCGTATCACTGCTCAGAGTGTGGGAAGAGGTTTAGTCAGCAGAGTAATTTCCATCGACACCAGCTCATTCACACAGGAGAGAAGCTTTATCACTGCTCAGAATGTGGGAGGAGTTTTAATCAACACAGTAATCTCAAAAAACACCAGCGCATTCACACAGGAGAGAAGCCATATCACTGCTCAGAATGTGGAAAGAGTTTTAATCATCAGAGTAATCTCCAAAAACACCAGCGCATTCACACAGGAGAGAATCTGTATTACTGCTCAGAGTGTGGGAAGAGTTTTAATCAACAGATTAATCTCCAGATACACCAGCGCATTCACACAGGAGTTAAACCATATCACTGCTCAGAGTGTGGGAAGAATTTTAATCATCAGAGTAATCTCCAACAACATCAGCGCACTCACAGAGAAGAGAAGCCGTATCACTGCTCAGAGTGTGGGAAGAGTTTTAATCGTCATAATAATCTCAAGCAACATCAGCGCATTCACACAGCAGAGAAGCCGTATCGCTGCTCAGAGTGTGGGAGGAGTTTTAATCATCAGAGTAATCTCCAAAAACACCAGCGCATTCACACAGCAGAGAAGCCGTATCGCTGCTCAGAGTGTGGGAAGAGTTTTAATCATCAGAGTAATCTCCAAAAACACCAGCGCATTCACACAGGAGAGAAGCCGTATTACTGCTCAGAGTGTGGGAAGAGTTTCAAGCATTCAAGGACTGTGACAACACACAAGTGCACTAAGGGCAGTGGTAGAAGTGGGCAGCAATGAATGTAATCTTAACACATTTCGGGAGTAAAAGTCTGCAGGGATTGGTGCTTCCAGCCCAGATTTCAAAAATCCAGAGAACTGTTTTCAGAGAGGAAATCTATCATTTGTTGTTTTATGTTGTTTCTAATGCATGAGCTTAAAATGAAAAAGAATTTCTTTACTAATGTTCGTAATATGTTGAAAGCAGTCAAAAGGTTCCCCATTGAATATGTTGTTTACTTTCTAATTTCATATGTCTAAGTTAGTATAGTGTTCCAGTTGCAATGATGAATGTTTCGACAAATATTTGATGTGCACTTCGCTCCTGAAGTCTATCTCTTGCTACTTTGATTCTTACACATTGTTTAATGAAAATAGTGAAAATACCACATTGTCTTCCCTTTTAACCTTAAGGAGATGTTGTCTGTATGCTGTATAATCGGAGTGTTGTTGTTGAAGACTGCAACAGTTAAGTTTTTAAGCATAAAGTTGCATACAGGCCTGTCTACAACTCCACAACTAAAACAACTGTTTTCAGACACTTTGAGGACTGTTGATGTTCTTTGTGTTGCTTAGAGAGTGATTATTTCCTTGAGAAGGGTGCTGCAATATGAGATCTGCAATCCTACCAGACGTGGTGGTGGCTGATGGTACAGGAGTTGGAACTAGATGAAAAGTGACCTTTTGGGGACCTTTGAGGCCTTGGGTCTGACTGAGAATGACTATTGCTTATGTCTTTAGAATGTGCATGAGGGACATTTATGGGACTGAACCTCTCCAATGACACTGTGTTTTGTTCCTGAACCAATCCAAGTGTGAATTACAATAGTTTTGATATGTAATTACAAATTCTGTATGCAGATTGTATAATTTGCATTTAATTTTCAACAGGTATAACAACTTAAACCATGTCTGTGTGTTAGGTGGGAGAGACGACTGTGGGTGCTCTCAACCTCCACCACGCTCTTCGTTCTTTCTATCTCTCTTTTGCTCTCTCTCACTCTCTGTTTTAGCCTGCTCATTTCTTTATTAAGCTTTTGTTTACTTAAGCCTTTACAGGTGAGGTTATATGTATTTTTCTCAGTGTGGTAACCTGTTGAGATTACATTTTTCAATTTTAATCTATTTTTTTTATGTTCCTGTAATCCTACAATACATTTTTTGTATTAAATCTTTCAATCTGTTCTCTCCTTGAAATTCAGTGTTGTGTTATATTGCATTACAGAAATTATGAATGAGTTTTTTGCATACATTTCTGAATTTTGATTTTATTCATGCTATGGTAAATTACCCAACATTTGCTTTACCTTGCAGTTGTCTTTGACAACAACTGGCTGGCAATTCAGCCTTTTAAAGTATTCCACCATGCTATATATCCTAATAGACACAGCCTTCTTTTTTCGTTGTCGTTCTAAAACATCAAATACTTCAGAATCACTTTATTTCATTACACCTGCAATGAATCTGTCATAGTGAGTGCACACATGTAACATACTAAAAAGACCAGGCGAGTACACAGATGATGAGAAATATTTCAAAGGAAAAGAAGTAATACAATAAATGCGTTGAACAGATGTCGATATGTAATATGTAAATATATACCTATGTGCAGAGTCTGAGAAGGTGAACTGTTATTTACAGTAAAATATATCATTATATAAACATTTGTACAGCAATATAAATAAGCATTGTGGTTCAAAGGAGTTATACAGTAAAAAAGGTTTGTCGGTTCCCCTTCTGCCCCCCAGAAAATACAGATCAACAACCCAGGGATGCAACTAAAAGTGACATAAGTAGCATGTGTGAAAGAGCACAACGTTTCCATGTTGTCCATAGCTTAATTTTCTGTGCAACGCATTCCAAAAAAAATCCATAAATACAGCAAGTACAACCATTCCAACAAAGAAGAATGATGTAGTATGCCAGGGCAGCCAAAACATTTAGGTCATCACCAAACTCGCCAATCCATCTTCCACCCTTTTGCCAGAAAATGGTTGATAACTTCATTAAATGTCCTTATCAGTCCTTATCAGTTCATTAAACAAATTCTCCTCGATCGTGATGAGTGCCAGGGACGACAGTCTTGACTTTTCCTGTTGGGTTTCTTGCATAGCTTTTTTGATCCTCTTCAGAGCCGAGAAGCTGGGATCATGACAACATGCAAGAGAGTAGAGTCTAGGGAGGCTGCAGTAAGTAAGTTCATTTTCATAAAATCGAGGATGTCACTGGGATTCTTTCCTGCGAAATCTGCCATGGAGTTCAAGACTGTGTTAGGTCTTCAGTCGTGTCGTGTCAAAAAGTTCCCCCTTAAGCTTTGGATAAGGATGCAAATGCGGCTGCAGGGAATGTTTTCTGATGAGAACCGAAATGCTTTTTCTGTCTGTGTCTGCCTTTTTTTTATCTTTCCTCGTGTGTCTTGTTACATGTGCTTTAGGCCATTGCATGTGTGTTTTTAGCCCTGGTTTTGTGCTTTGTATTTGTTTGTTTTTTTGTTCTCACAGGCCACGTTTTGGTTATTTCTCATTTGGTAACCAGTTTACTTTGTGCCCCTTTGTCTGTTTTCTTTTTGCCAAAGTATTTTGTCATTTCTGTTCCTTGTTTGTTTAGTCACTTTTGTAGTTTCTTTTCCTTCAACGTTTTTCAGTAAATCAAAGGACTTGCACGTGCATTCTGCCTCTTCATCTCTCTCAACGTTGTGCTGTCAGTTTAATTCTGGCGCTCTAGAGGCTAACCGCTGTGCCGTTTAAGGTGGAACGGAAAATGTGGATAAGAAGCTGGCGAGAAGCCAGCTTAAGTTTCACTGGTGACCTTGATATGCAGTAACATTATGGATGTAACAAGGTTTTTGAAAAGGGAGAGAGGAGAAAATGCTGAAGAGCTTGCGAGGATCAGATTCTTATGCTTCTAGTTTCTCTCTGTAGGGTGACATTGCAGCAAATATTTCAAGGGAGAACTTCGAAAGGAGTAGTAGGAGCAAAGATCAGAGTCAAGCTGGGATGTCCTCCACCTTCTCTCAGCCTTTCTTAGTATTCTCCAGGTGCTGAGCAGGACATTTGTCTGTCAGGGGTAGGCGGAGAAGATCCCTGGAGGGGAGGGAACACAGATGGTTGATTGCAGATGAAGGTGAAGAAAGGAAAACATCTGTAGATGCAAACAGAGAGAGAGAAGTGCGTCAGGGTGGGGAAGGGTAGTTAGGGTGGTTGAAGCAAGAGACAAGGGAAGAATGGGGTGCATGATGCGCTATGGGAAGGAAGAACACAACGGGGTGATGGACAGGAAGAGAAAAGGAGAGAGAGTGTGAAAGATACAAAGTAATCATGTGAGCAGTGAAGGGGGGTGGGTCTGCTGAAGATCACGTCCAGAATTTTGACTGCTTTGTGTGTCGGAGGAGACTGGTTGAGAGTGAGATCAAAGGATGACAGTGTTGGGAAGCAGAATGACTGCAGCTTGTCTGGTTAGAAGGTTGAAGTCACTGCAGGGAACGTGTGGAGTTCCATCCATTGAGAAGAGACTCAGAAGTTTGTCTCGCTCATCTATGAAGTTGTCTAGAGGACAAAGAATATGATAAATAATACTTATACGAAGTTTATTGTGGTAAGATACAGTAAGAGCATGGTACTCAATAGGGGAAGCTGAAGGATGAGAAAACAAGAACGCAGTGAAACATCATTTTCTAGACAGAAACAAACCTGTGCCACCACCCAGGCCGTCTGTTTCAGAGAATGGGAGATGTTAAAAGCAGAGGATAGAGCCGCTGACTTCTCAGGGGCGTGATCCAAGTCTCTGTCAAAAGTAGGAAGTGCTGCAAATGGAGGGTACTGTAATGCTGAGATGAGGTCTGCTTTCTGGGCTGCAGATTGGCAAATCTAGAGCCCACATGACACCCTGGTCTGTGACTGTGACAAGTGTCACTGCTTACTCCAAACACATGCATGCACATGCAGCCAATATAACACCAATGATTAACTGCCATATTTGTACACTTAAACACCCATAGAAAACAAAAAATATTATATTAAAAATTATGGAAATCACTATCATTAAGATATTAGTAAGTTCTGTAGACAGATGACATCACATTAGGTGCTGCTGTAAAACGCATAATCTTGATTTCCAGAAAATAAACCTGTGCCACCACCCAGGCCAGTCTGTGTTGGACAATGCTAGATGTTAAAAGAAGAGGATAGAGCCGTTGACTTATTGGAGGTATGCTAATGCTGAGATGAAGTCAGCTTTCTGGACTGCAGATTGGCAATACCACCTGCCATCCTGGTCTGCGACTGTGACAACCATAGGGGACAGATAAGATTACAGGCATTGCGCTGCGATGACAATGGTCTAGATCTGTGGGATGTGTAGATAAGTATTGAAAAACACATGTTGCAAGTGCAAATATTCAGTAATTAGAATTAAAGAACTAAATAAAGAATTATAGAATGATACTTTGGTCCCATCTCTGTATTGACAGAAAAAGATTGGTAAATCCACCCAGCCACCACATTCACATCTGTTGCGGATCCCTCCATGATTCATCAGCATTGTTACTGCTAGCCCAGTCCCTACAATTCACACCTTAGGCCAACCTGAAACACCGTCTGAATCTAGTATTCAGCATTAAACTCTAGGTTCAACAAACTGATCTGTGACTAGGAAACCCAAGCCAACGTAAATTAAAATAGAGCTTACCTTACCAGCATAAAAAAACAAATTCCAGTCTGATGACACAAGTAAACACAAATTCAGATGTACAAGATCATTATTGTTAAATAAAGTCATTGATTGAGTGCAACCATGAAATGTCACACTTCTGTTAAGTGATTTACAAAGAGTAATCTCAAAGAAATCTGCCAAGGACACAGCATAGTGGGAAAACTATTCACCCCACAGTTTTGTCCAGTGCCTGCTGCACAAACACAACAAACCCCCTAAGTGCTGTAATAAATTATACAGATAATTTAGATTGTATGCAAGAGAAAATGAATTATTGTAAATAGATGTATTGCAAAACAAAAGTTAGTACATTCAAAAATATGGAAACACTATCATTAAAAGATACTCGTAATTTCTAAAGACAGATGAGGTCACATTAGGTGTTGTAAAACACATCATCTTGGTTTCCAGAAAAAAAAAATAAAAAATCAAAAGCGGCTAACAAAAGAAAAAACAGACCCTGAGGTTTGGTAATGATTTGTGGAATACTTTGCCATCTCTTGGGTTAGGGTTAAAATTTTGATGGTAACCTCTGAATGAACAGTGATCGCTGCACACATAGATTTCAGCTGATGCTCTATTTAACAGCAGTACTCTTCCTTGTCAATTGTTCACTAGGAAAGTTTTTACTGTTAACATCAGTATGAAATCAGTAGTCATGCACAAAACTACCGAAGGATTCTCCTGCTGTAACATTTCAGAACTAAACACTTCATCCAAATGACAGCAAACAGTGAAAGATTTCTTTAGATTAATAAAAGTAGTCAATTATTCTTAAACGAAACACTACTTACAAAAACAGCCTGGTAAAATTTAAGACCTTTATCAGCTTATGACAGTTTATTACCATGAAAACAGATAAATTAGCTCAGCAGTGTGTAAAGGAAACATATCTGTGAGTGTTAAACTGGCTTTGAGAGAAATTACTAACAAGATCAATAGATTTATTGACCTAAAACTGATCAAATAAATATAAATCTATGTAATTTATTTGTTTTGAGGTATGTACAGCTATGTCTGTGCATTTTAAAAAAATCACTTTCATAGATTAAATTAACTAAAATTGTATTCATTTTTGTCCAACAATGCAATAACAAGTTTTAATTAAAATACTTTCAAAAACACTGTTTAATATGTAAAGGAATTTTAACCCATGTTCATCAACACTGGTTTAACTTTATAAGGACTTTATCAATGAGCTTTATGGATTTATTTGTAATGGATATTTAAAATGACCCAAACTACAATTAAAATGTATAAAATTAGTATAATAAACAGAATCACTATTTCAAAAATAAAGCCTGCAGAATATCAGCAATCTGAATCATTTTGAGCTCAAGTGCTGAGATTTATTTACTTTTAACATTTGTTTGTAAAAATAATGTACAGAAATAAGTCTTGTTTAACAGAAGTTGTCTTATTTCTAATCTGATTTGACCTCATGATAACTGTTCAGTGAGTGAACACCTGCCTATAAATTTAATCTCAAATAATCTGAAGAAAACCTCAAACAAAAATGAGAGGCTTCAATAAACGTGTTTATGAAAGTGGACAGAACCTTTCATACATATCTATACAGTAAACAGGTTTAGTCCCCTAATAAAATAACAGAATATTACCAAAATAATAAAGGGCAGGGTCATTTTTAGGGGGTTCTTCAGAGCTGCTCTGATGGGTGAAACATCCTACAGAAAGCAAACAGCTCAGGCACCACTTAAGGTGGAACAAAATTTAAGGTGGAATGGAAATTTTCACGTAAGAAGCTTGAGGCGCAAGGCCATAATTGCTTACCATTTAAGAAGAAATGGGAAATTCAAAAAAGGGATTTGACTTAAGCCTCGTAAGAAGAGTGAACCGTTTTCGCAGGAAATCCGTGTGCGTGGTTGAGCGTGTAGTTTAGTGATTAATTATTTCCCCACAGACATCCGACATGAATCTCTGCTTGCAGAAGCGCAAAATTAATAACGCTTTACGGCCGTTCCTTCACTGAGCTAAGAAGCAGAACTAGAAGCAGAACTACAACTTTATTTATGTATATGTATGTATATATTAGATGTATATATATAGATTAAGGTTACGTAACGCACCTGCCACCTTCCAAAGACTTCTGTGGAAAGTCTTGGCTAATGTGAACTATTGTGAATATTTGAATGACGTAGTAGTCTATTCACAGACTTGGGATGAGCATATAACATCACTCAGAAATGTATTTGACTGTTTTAAGAAAGCCTCACTTACATGTAACCTTTATAACAGTGAGTTTGGAAAAGCCTCAGCATCCTATTTGGGAAAGCAGGTTGGCCAAGATTGGAGGCTAAGATTCAGATAAAAACTGATTTGCCTACCACTAAACGTGATATCAGACGTTTTTAGGAATGGCTGGTTATTATCGTAGGTTTTGTAAAAAACTTTGTTAGTGTTGTTGCACCCTTGACAAATCTGCTTAAAAAGGACAGGACAGCGATGTGGACTGAGGAATGTGATCATGCTTTTAACTCTGTTAAAGCTCTTATATGTAGCACTCATGTTTTAGTGGCCCCTGACTTTTCCAAACCTTTTAAGCTGGAGGTTGATGCCAGTGCTTCAGGAGCTGTGGCTGTACACTTACAAGAAGACTCTGGATGTGTGTAGCATCCTGTTTGTTATTTTTCCAAGAAGTTCAACAAACATCAGTTTGTGTACAGTACCATAGAGAAAGCAGTATTAGCTCTTCTGTTGGTCTTGCAGCATTTTGAGGTATATTTAGGATCTAGCAATTTGCCTGTGGTTGTCTATACTGACCATAACTCTTTGTTTTTTTTATGTCGACTGCAAAAGGCCAATTTCTTTTGCATAGTGTGTCTTTTTCTGTATTGATTACAAGGACGATGCCCTAAGCCACCACCAGGAGGAGCCGCCTATGAAAGGGAGACGACCAGGACGAAGTGCGGTGCTTTATTTCCAGCATTGTTTTCCTTGCATTCCCCGGTTTCCTGACCAGTCATTTGAAAGAAGCTTCTGCTGTTGATCTGTGTCTGTATGAGAGCTTGACTGTTGGTGTATGGCTTGTTGGTGCTTTGTTGTTTGTCATTGACATTACCATAAAGATAGCTATGCAATCAAAATACAAACAAGAGCAAGAAAAGTAGCATCCCATTCCTTTTTCACATTTTACACACTCTTAAAAAACAAAATGTAACAATGTCTGACTCGGGAACACCTGGCAAGTCGCTTAAAAACTGTGAACATTTAAGTGCTTTAATTGCATCTGATAAAGTTTTGTTTAAAATGAACCACAGTCAACAATGGCTTTTATTATATCCAAAACCATAGAATTTTCAATACAGAATTTCTTTTAAAACTGAAAAAGCATCAGACAGACCATTCACTCTCTTTTTGCAGTTTAAGGGACATTCTGCATGACATTTCATGCACTGTGAGGAATTCTCTGCCCATCAAAACCCCACAGGCTCAAGCAGCATGCAGAATACGGGCTCGTCTATAGTTCTTGTTGTATACAATGCAATTTTGCATTATTTTCACTTTTACTGTCAAGTTAAAACTGCACATGCCATTGAAGCAATGTTAGAATGGAAAATCATTTTCATATTTGTATTCACTTAATAGTGTAATCTGTTTAGATAAATTTAGGTACTAAATAACTTTAAATAACACAAAAATAATACAACACATACCTCTGCACACAAAGGTGAATTGGAGATACTAAATCGCCCCTAGGTGTGGGTGTGAGAGTGTGTGTATATGTATATGTATATGTCTGTGTGTCTGCCCTGTGATTCACTGGCAACTTGTCCAGGGTCTTACCAGGCTTCTGCCCATTGACTGCTCGGATAGACTCCAGCCTCCCCCACAACTCAGGAGGATAAGCGGCTTAGGTAATGTGTGTGTGTATGTGTGTGCTATTATTTCCCCCTAGTGGAGAATAAGATTTACTGTGGGGATATTCATTCATTGCTAATTCAAATTTAAACCTATATCACTCTGCCACTGTTTGTTTTCTATTGATAAATGATTTGTTGTCCCACTTATTGGGATGACCATTTTTGTAAGTATAATTAGGGATTATGAAAACCAAGCACTTCCTTGGTGACAGATGCACAACAAAGGAACCCAGCTGCCTTTTCAAAGTTTAAGTGATTCATCTGGCAAACATTTCCAGTCTCATACAATACTCATCTGGTTTTGCACATGTGCAGTTAAACTGCAAGCCAAGGTGTGTAAGCAACCATTCCAGTCAGCCCAGTACTCTAAAAAAGCAGCACCACACAGGTGGTAAAAAAGGCACAAAAGCGCCTCTTCCACCTCAGGCGGCTGAGGAGGTTTGGCATAAACCCCCGCATCCTCAGAACATTTTACACATGTACTGTGGAGAGCATTCTAACAGTCTCCATCACCACCTAGTATAAGAACTGCACTGCCATCGAGCAGAAAGCTCTGCAGAGCACAGCCCAGCACATCACCGGGGTCCAGCTCCCAAACCTCCTGGATTTATACACCAGCTGCTGCCTAAGGAAGACCAGGAGGATTCTAAAGGACTCCACCCACCTAAGCCACTGTCTGTTTTCACAGCTGCCAAGCGGGAGGAGATACAGAAGCATAAAGTCCAGAACCAGCCGGTTCCAAGACGGTTTCTTCCCCCCGGCCATCAGGCTGCTGAACAGTAGCGCTGGTGCATTGGTCTATAGGCTTATCACTACACCTCTGAGTCATCATCTCCATGGACAATCTACACCTCATCCACATCTCAACAGACTTACTCTGATCTTACTGTACCTTCAGTCTAGCAAATCTATACTTACACATATAGATTGACATCTTGTACATCTTCTATCCATATCTTGTATAATCGGGAAGATTTCCATGTCAATATTCTATCCCCTGTGTACCCTGCATCTCATTTATTTATCTCCCTTAGACTCACTAACTGCACATAAGAAAATGTGTACAACAGTACATATCATAGTTTTATTTCATAATTTATTACTGTACAACTGTACATTGTAAATAGTGCAATAGTAGTGTATATTGCGTATGTGTGTATATATTTAGAGTTGGTGTTTATATATGTCTGGTTTCTTCTAATGGTTTAACAGGTGTTCTGAGACTGATTTAACAGGTTGTCATGGGACAATCATGGGCTGGAGGTTAGGGGACCAGCCTTGTGACCAGAAGATTGCTGGTTTGATCCCCTGAGCTGACAGTACATGGCTGAAGTGCCCTAGAGGAAGGCATGTAACCCCTTGCTCTGCTGTGAACAGGGCTGCCCACTGCTCCCTAGTGTGTGTTTACTAGTGTGTATGTGGTGTTTGACTGCATGGATGAGTGAAATTTCTCAGTGGGACTAAAAAGGGTCACTTAATCTTAATAAGTAGTGGTCTCTAATGGTAACCATTGAGCCAATTCCCATTAGGAACCACAACCGTCAGGTTTTAATCCTAATATCTTTTATCAGCAGGGAGAGGATAGTAAATTGTACTTACGTAGGTTTAGTCCAAATAAGCTGACCTGTCCTGATAAAATGGTACAATTATCAAAAATGTGTATCCGTTGCTGATTGTCTTGTTGCGTTAAAGTTGTTCTGCACTTCATAATTTAAAGTATTTGTTTCTAAGCTGTATCTGTTGCTGCATAAAAGCAGGATCGTATACGCTGCTACTCTATCAGAGCGCTGGAGGCGGGATTTGACTGAATACGGGTGGGATAAAATAACGATCGTTCCGCCTGTTTCCGTGACCGCGTGGTTCCAGTGTGAAGCCGCTTCAGGCCAGGTGGTGGCGCTAATTCTCTAACAATATCTTTCTCCAACTGCACTAAAGCGGAGAAGCAGAAGGTTGTGTTGTGGTCAGCAGTCCACGCCTCCGCGCTCATACAGTGTTGTTGGAGGAGCAGAAACAAGAGCTGAACTGTTGAAGGTAGGAAGCTGTCCGACACTTTAACACTCACTGTTCTTCATTCACTCTGAGACAAACAGCTGGAGACACATTTGAGTTCTGAAAATAAGATCTGATGAAGCAGCTTCATTCAGACTTGGCTGAGTAATGTGAGCTGTTGTGCCAGAATGTTTGGTTGTTATCAAGTCAGCTCCTTAATTATTGATCGTGTTGTTGGTGTGAACGTAAACGCACTCATTGGAAGACAAACTGTAAATATGAGTCCTTTATGACTTTCTCTGCTCCACTGTCCAGTTTGTGAACATATGAAGCAGATCTTATCAACAATTCACTTAAAAAAAAAAAAATCATGCCATACTGATCATGTAGCTTTAATAGGTGTAGAAACATTGACTGAAACTGATATTGCCCAATATAGGTATAGGTGTATAATTATATGTACAAATGTGGTGAGAAATTACTTCCCGAGAGCTGTGAATGTCTGGGTGGGAGTTGCTGGTCAATGGCTGGTAGATTAAGAGCCGGTAGGAGTGTCTATGGTGGTGTTTGAGGTCTGTGTGAATAGAGTTTGATTGGATGATCACAATTAAGTAATTCGTAAATTAATTAATAAATTATTGTAGTCGATAGGGCAGTTGACATGGCAACAGCAGAGGGCAAGGGGTTTGAATGTTTACATGCTAGGAAATATTTATTACTTAGATTAAAAAAGATTCGGCCTTATATGTTTGTGCTGGGCTAACTTAGTTCATTTTTAAGTAGTCGATTTGTGACGTAGGAATATAATGGGTTTCAATTACATTTAATTGTCAGAGTTGCATTTATTACATAACACATACTGACTGTGATTATTTGTGCTGATTATTATCGTTCAAACTGACCATGACCACTTTGCATTACGTTTCACATTTGTGTTTGTCTACATGTGTAACAAATTCAATTCAGTGTGGTAGAGTGGTGTCTTGATATAATTTTTTTATATAAGGAGTGCCTGAGCATGTGCCTCAGTAAGTGTAATAATGCATGTTTTCAGGTTTGAAACTATTTTGATTCTGAGGTCAAGATTCAGTTTGATTTTCAAAATTTTGAGTGTTAAAATATCTTGGTCTAGTTATACACTAAACCCATTTGTTAGGCTCATACATTTTTTTAGTAGAACTGTTTTCAATGACTGCCACATGTGATTTTTAGATTTTCCACAGGCACAGATTCAGAGACTGAGATTTTCATATTCAGGAACTGATTTTCAGCAGAGAATTGCATAAAGTTCTGCTAAGGGGTAAGTGCATAGAGTTTTGTGTGTGTGTGTTAGTTTGTGTTGGATTGATATCAGTATTTTGACTTTGATATTAATGCGCGATTTATTATTCAGCAAGAGGGGGCAGCAGCTTTCAGTGGACAGGCATGTTACATTTTTCTGCCACTGGCAAGAAAAGAAATGACGTTCAACGTGCCACTGGAACATTTTGGTCTCTTGTGGTACAGGCCACTCACTCAGAGGAACATATTTGGCTGTTAGTGGACTTTTTCATATATTGTTTAAATTATTAATGTATTACACCAGGGGGGCACAACTCCAGTCCTGGAGGGCAGGTGTCCAGCACACTTTGGTAGTGTCCCTACTCAAACACACCTTCTAAACCTGGCAGTTAACAGATTAGTTGAATCAGGTGTGTTTGAGCAGGTAAATTACCGAACTACTGCCACTGCTGAGTGGAATATGCCAGTTAGTGAAATAGGCCACAGCCGAGTGGAATACGGCACTGCTGTAGGAAATATGCCAGTTAGTTAAATATGGTGGCTGAGTGGAATATGCAAGTTAGTGAAATATCGTGGCTAAAAGGAATACGCAAAAGGAATAAAAGGAAAAAAAGGAATACAAAGTTAACTGTGTTTGATCCCAATAAAAGAGAATTAAATAGACTTGTGGTTTTCAAACACCTGGCAGATAAAACATTACAATGTTGATGGTGTGAATTAATATTTTTTTGTGAAATTTGTGTAACATTTTTGTGGGGAACCTTTGCACTTTACATTTTTAAAAAATCATTTTAGTCAATCCTGTAATTTAGCATTTTATATTCTTCTCTTGCCTTCTGCCCAATGACAGCTGGGATAGGCTCCAGCACCCCACCGTGACCCAGAAGGATAAGCGGTTTAGATGATGTATGTATGTATGTATGTATGTGTGTATTCTTCTTTTGCTTTGAAAGAATCTATTATCTTTAGTTTCAGAGCCTCAATCAGTTGTTTAGATGAGCTCATGGTTGTGAAGTGTAAGCACCCTAAGAGATTTGAAAGATCACAAAGTACAGGGAGATTCACTCAAAAGAGGCCCCGAATATTCCTAACTCCCGTTAGGATGAAGCAATCTGAACCAAACAATTTGCTACATACCTTGACGTATCAGTTGCATTACATGCGATGCTGGAAGTGATCTCTGTTTTATGCCAGACACATGAAGGGGTACGGGGGTATGCACCCGGAAGTTGCAAACAGAGGTTTAATGTCACAATGGCTGTCTGGCGGCTACCTCATTGGTCCAACGCAGGGGCTTCACAGCTTGTTCGAAGCTCCATATACTGAGGAGCACATTGCACGTTGTTTCGTTCAGATTGTTTTGTGCTAGTGAGAGTTATTACAGAATATTCAGGGCCTCTTTCAAGTGAATCTCCCTGTATTATGCTTGATGACATGATTTCATTGGTCTGTATGTCTGTTTGAAGAGTTTGATAGACATGATATAATAAACTTCCATCTGATGTTAGCAAGTCTTTCTTCTGCACTTTTTTGCCAGTTGATGTACGTAGAGAATTCATGACTTAGGTCAGAATACTTTGATGCATTTCACATTGAGTTTAGATTCTTTTTCTTTTCTTCTTCCAGAAATGATTGACGTCCTGTTTCAAGTCTTCTCTTGCTCCTAGTGTCTGCTTTGCTAAGCTGCTAAAACAGACGAAGTATAACAATATGGCTCCCAGAAGATGCTCCAGTACTCAGCAAATGTCATCTGGTACCCTACAAATGAACACATCACACAGACAAACACAGAAACGCAGCAAGGAGAGAACTCCCTACTGCTTAGACTGTGGAAAGAGTTTTACTCGACAGAGCAGTCTCAAAATACACCAGCGCATTCACATGGGAGTGAAGCCGTATCACTGCTCAGAATGTGGAAAGAGTTTTAATCATCATAGTAATTTTCAACGACACCAGCACATTCACACAGGAGAGAAACAGTATCACTGCTCAGAGTGTGAGAAGGGTTTCTATCGACTGAGTAATCTCCAGCGACACCAGCGCATTCACACAGGAGAGAAGCCGTATCACTGCTCAGATTGTGGGAAGAGTTTTACGCAACAGAGGCATCTCCAACAACACCAGCTCATTCACACAGGAGAGAAGCCGTATCACTGCACGAAGTGTGGGAAGAGTTTTACTCAACAGAACACTCTCATATCACACCAGCTCATTCACACAGAAGAGAAGCCGTATCACTGCACAGAGTGTGGGAGGAGGTTCAGTCGACACAATACTCTTCAACGACACCAGCGCATTCACACAGGAGAGAAGCCGTATCACTGCTCAGAGTGTGGGAAGAGTTTTGCTTTACAAAGTACTTTCCAAAAACACCAGCATATTCACACAGGGGAGAAGCCGTACTACTGCTCAGAGTGTGGGAAGAGTTTCAGGCATGCAAATACTGTGAAGACACACAAGTGCACTAAGCACAGTGGTGAAAATATATATTAATGAGTGTAATTATAACACCATGCCAGAAGTCTGGAGAAAACTGCTTCCAGCCCAGATTTAAAATAAAAATCCTGCTTTTAGAGTGGAAAAAACATGTTTTGTTGTTTTGCCTTCTGTCTACAACATATGCATAAAAAGAAATGCAATTTCCAGTATACAAGTCATTTTGGTTTGAAATCCTGATGAATTTGTTTTGTTCACAATTATGTCATTCTTTCATTGACTGATGAATAAATATGTGGTTACTAGGATTTTTTTGTCTGTGAGATGTGAATAAATTTTGAATGAGATTTCCCCCTCTGTGTCCACTATAAGCATTATTAAACTTCACAAGAACGTGGTGACCCTAAAACCTTGCCAGCTGTCCTGGTGAAAGGCTGAAATAAAAAAAATGTGAATTGTTTGGCTCTGTGTAGCAGCTATGATTGGGTACAGGAGTATTAGGGGCAAGTGCATGATGTGAAGGTCTCAGTCAAGATCAAATGTGATGATATTGAAAGGAATCAACTTCCCTTTTCCCCAGTTTCTGTCTGTTCACTTCATTCCTCCTGCTCTTTTTCTCTCCTAGATTCTTCTGTATTATTATTCTGTATCTTCTGTATTCTGGGCTGGGAGAGGAGCAGTAGCTAAATTTTCTGGAAGCAGCCCTGGTTTCCAACATGTAGTCACTTTTGACTGGTCAGCACAAGCAAGCTCTTGGTTTAAAACAGTTCGGTAAATGGTGAAGGAGCTCTGAGTTTGGACAGAGGATAGAGGGGCAGAGAGAATGGAAGGAACTCTCTGAGAAGGGGAATCTGTGGAGAGACGGAATCTCTGATCCCAGCATATCTAAATTAATTCCTAGTTTGTTTGTTTTTTTAAATAATTGAGATTATTTTAAAAGTTATTATATTATTTTAAAAAGACTAATTCTGCTTCAGGAGTTAAGTATTCTTTCCAAACAAACACTGGTCTGGACTAAACTGGTTAAAAATGGGGGTGGACAGAACACTGCAGTCCCTGAACATGTCCACTGACTTCAGATTACAACAAAGTTAAAGGAAGGAATGCATGTTAAGGATGGCAGAAGGGCTGCAGTCTACACTGAGTGAACAGAACATTCAGGTCTAATAGCTGTATCTAATAGTAAAGCGTGCAACATTGAGTGCAACTACACATGATACAGTTAATACACCGGTTCAGGGAGCACAGATAAGACCTGCTGACTCATTAGAAATGGCTCTTTTGTAAAGGAGACCAAAGAACACTAACATATACAGCACAAGACATGCTACAATCAGTTCTCAGTACAAACACAGAAACTGAAATAGACACAATTTGCATACAGTATGGATGCCTTAAAGGTGCACATCAAAGACCAGCATTACAATTGCTTTGTCCATTCAAAGCAATTATACCAGTTATAGGCAGATTATGTGTAATTTACATACACAACACTTCACATAAACTTTATACAACCAACCTCCCTTACTGTACAGCTGAACACCAACTTATGCAACTGTAAAAATGTTCGTAATTCTGTATTTTACTGTAAATAATTGTCTTCCACATACTGCCTCTGGCTTGATCGGGTGCCAATGCTCGCCAGCCCTCTGGACCGTCTTACCACCATTGAGCCTCCTGCTGTACAACGCCTTGCAAACCTCACCCTCACAACCTGACCCCACTGATGCTGCTGCTGTTGCTGCATGAATTAAACTAATCAAAATTAATCATTTGAACTAATCAATCATTTAAACTAATCAAATTAATCAATCACCCATTACAGAACTGACTCTCTGTGTGTTTTTCCTTTCTTTCTTTGCCGAGTTGAACAGCTGCCCATCCCGTGCGTCTGATGGTGCTGCCTCTTCTGCCTTGATCGGGTGCCACTGCTCGCCGTGCAAACCTCACCCTCACAACCTGACCCCGCTGATGCTGCTGCTGCTGCATGAACTAAACTAATCAAATTAATCATTTGCTCCACCTGTTTTCCCCGTTTTTGTACTATAATACTTTATACTAACAATGTTTACTATCCGGTGTCGACCAGAGGAGGATGGGTTCCCCTTCTGAGTCTTGGTTCCTCTTCAGGTTTCTTCCTGTTTCTCTTAGGGAGTTTTTCCTTGCCACTGTCACCTCTGGCGACGCTCATGGGGGTATGGACCCGGATTTCTTTCTGTAATGCTGATTTCCTTGTAAAGCTGCTTTGTGACAACACCTGTTGTAAAAAGCGCTGTATAAATAAACTTTGCTTGCTTGCTTGTTACTGCACATATGTTATTCAGCTTCTTTCTCATTATCTTTTATAAATGATCTTATTCTTTGTTCTATTTATGTATTTTTTATTTTATTTATTTTTCACAATTTTATTGTCTTTTTTTTAATGGTTTCTACTGTCTGTACTCGTCTCATCTGTTTAATACGTTACATGTGTGCTCTCACTGACAAATCCCCTGTATGTGTAACAAACTATGCAAAATAAAGTGATTCTGATTCTGAAGGGGTGGCACGGTGGCGCAGTGGGTAGCGTTGTCGCCTCACAGCAAGAATGGCCTGGGTTCGATTCCCAGCCGGGCGACCAGGGTCATTTCTGTGTGGAGTTTGCATGTTCTCCCCATGTCTGCGTGGGTTTCCTCCCACAGTCCAAAAACATGCAGTCGGGCCAATTGGACGTGCTAAAATTGCCCCTAGGTGTGATTGTGTGTGTGTGTGTATGTCTGTCTGCCTGCCCTGTGATGGACTGGCGACCTGTCCAGGGTGTATCCTGCCTTCCGCCCAATGACAGCTGGGATAGGCTCCAGCACCCCACCGTGACCCAGAAGGATAAGCGGTTTAGATGATGTATGTATGTACGTATGTATGATTCTGAAATAGATGACATAATTAAACAAACAAAAAAAAAGAAACCTTCATCTAATAGGTTATAAAGCTTGGTGGAATCCTTTAAAATGGCTGAATTGCCAGACAGATTTTGCCAAAGAGAACTGAGAAGCCCTGGTCTTACTGGATCACAGAAGCTAAGGCAAGATAAAGCTTATGTAGTGGTGGGTAATTTACCACAGCATTATAATGATGTTGATTAACATCCATGCATAATGTCTCGTATGCGATATATCCTAAAAGCTAAAAACAGAAGACCACATAGTGAATTTCAGAAGATGAATAGATTATAAAAAAAAAAAGATTTTTTTTATTATTAAAAGGAAATTTAATTACATTGGTTTAATTACAAACCATTTTACAATCAAAGTGAAAATTCGCTTACCTCGAGGAACAAAACGAAATAACGGTAAAACATGGACGAATTAAATCTGTCTAAGCTCCGCAGCGTCAGCTGAAGACATCATGATTTCAACATGCGCACTGAGGAAACGGGGAACTTAATTCGGTTTATGAGGGGCCTGGCCACTTCTTATCCCCCCGTTATATCAAAAACAGGACTGCTAAACAGCAGAGGGCGCCCGCGAGGGAGTCCTCAATGAATGCGAGTAAATGGAGCTCAACGGCTAAAAACGAAAAGCTAAAAACAGTTTCTAATCACTCGCCCAGAACGTTTCTCTAATTTTAGAAAGTAGAAGGATGTATTTCACTAAAAAAACAAAGAAATCTTACCTATATATTTTCTTTTTTCTACAGCAAACGGGTTTTGGGCAGCAGAAGGTGGGCATCACTGCTAGTGATCGCTGACTGATTGGTGAGCGGAGCAGCTCATTGGCTGTTCGTGCTAACAGATATCATAAACATACACGAGGCGCCGTTTTAAACTCCTATAGCTTGAAAAAAATATAACAGCAGTGTTAAAATGTTTATGATATTCAGTGTTCAGGAAATGATTGCATTCTTTTACATTAAACATGTTTAAGCATTTATAAACCATGATTTTGCTCAAATGCTCCATATCAACCCATTCATTTTGGACTCGCTTGGGAGCGCCCTCTAGCGTTTGAGAAACCCGGAAAATATTGCAGAGTGGTAACTCTCCTCTTTACAAGTTCTGTACCTGTGCTGCATACCGGTGAGCACAGGCCCACTTCGAGTCCTCGCTATTAACCAATCAGAGCCCTGGAGGCGGGGGCTTCCTGAATACGGGTGGGATTTAAAATAAAGTGACGCGTGAAGCCGCTACAGACCAGGTAGTGGCGCTAATTCTGGAACTACACCTTTCTCCCGCTGCACTGGCGGGGAGAAGCAGAAGGTTGTGTTGTGGTCAGCAGTCCACGCCTCCGCGGTCATATAGTGTTGATGGGGGAACAGAAACAAGAGCTGAACTGTTGAAGGTAGGAAGCTGTCCGACTCTTTAACACTCACTGACTGAGATTTTCAGCAGAGAATCGGATAAAGCTTTGCTGCTGATGGTGAGGCGCACTAAACAGTGTGTGTGTTAGTTTGTGCTGTATCGAAAACAACATCTAGACTTTGACATCAATGTCAGACTTGATGCCTCTGTGTTTATTCCAGATCCACACCTCGGGCAGCAGAGTAATCAGAATAAGAATCAGACTTTAATGGCCTGGTTTGTTTGCACATAAACATCATCTTTTCCTATTCGGTGCTGTTTTTCAGCTAAAACGTAGGAGGTCCGAGGTAAATTAGGTTAAGCTGTGACCGCTGATCAGCTGAGACGATTATCGCTTACTTATCTGTTTCTCTCGAAGACTTTAGATTAGATTGACTGCCTTTTCAGTGTAAATGTAAGATTCGTCTGAGCTAATCTGGATTTTTGTGGGCCTTAATGTCGCACAGTAAAACAGTAGTGTTTGCTAACTAGCCAGGTAACGTTATACCCTCCCTTTCGAGTGGCACTGCCGAGTGTGCGCTTATCAACAGGATATTACGTCGAACTCAGTGTATTAAACGTCTTATTGTGTTTTAATGTTAATTCAGTACATAATCAGATTAATATTACTACTTATGATTTATACCTGTCTCAAATAAGCGTCTCATTCTCCAGCTTCTTCGAAATTTTGCCGTCCCACCTTAAATAGTCCCTGAGTGTCTCTGTGATCTGAGGCGCCAAAGCGTGTCTGCGGCCCCATTTAAGGTGGACCGGGAAATCTGAACAATAGGATGGAGAATAAGAAGCTTCAGCTTGAGGTTTAGGCTATCAGAATATCCGAGGTACAGTTTTATGTTATAAATATGCGCTACTGTAGGACATTTCGACAAGGTGTCGCAGTTCGTCTGAACATAGACAGTTTGCTAATATGCTAGCTACCTTGAGTAGAAAATGCCAAAACGGAGATAAATACGGATGAAAGAGCAGGTAACGTCAACATGTTCAGGTTGTTACTCCACTCGGTGGTTCGGGAGTTTGTGGATCCAAATCCGTTGTTCCAGTTACTGTAACTGCGGAAGGTGAAAAAGTCCAGTAAATCTAAACGTTACACGGCCGTTTATTAGTGGTTGTGTCAGCCTTTGGGCCGTTCAGCTTTTCTTCGTTCATAGTTTTCGGTTACGCCGTTAAGATTACCACGTCGCCATATTGGTAGGCAAGCTGCAACTCTGACTGTGCTCTGACAGAACTCGCCTCATGAATGTCTACAACCTTGCAGGTGGACAAAAAGCCAAGCAAAATGGTTCAGGAAGACCGAGAAAACGATGAAAACATATGTAGATGCTTCAGATAAAGTCTCCAAAAAACGCTACAAGGAGAAGATTAGCATTAGAACCCACATTACAACCCATAAACTACACTTTATGGGATTTAGCCACAGTAATACACCCACATTTCCCAGTCTCAGAACACCAGTACTGTAATTTATTGTCATTTACTAATTACTGGCTTTGTCCTGATATCCATGATTTCTGTTTGGAGGTCATTAGCCAGTTATCCAAGATCCTAGGCTTTGGCATCCCCATTTGCCCCACTGTAGGACTATTTAAAAGGGAATACCCCTGATTTTTCAAAAATTCACTAAAATTAAATGGTTAGGATGCAAACAAATGAATTCAAAGTGGTTTAGTGTGAAGTGCTCCATTCTAGAGAAGCTTACCAAGACGTCTGAAGAGTTTAATGTTTCTGAAACAGGGGTGTCCGATCCAATCCAAAGGACCAGCGTGGCTTCTGGTTTTCATTCCAAACAGTCTTCAAACAACTGATTATGTGAGCTTCTGATTTGTTGAAACGAAAACCTGCAACCACATCTGCCCTCTGATGGACACTCCTGCTCTAAAATGTCCTTTTAGAATTTTATTACATGAATTATGATTTATTACATGATTATGTATATGCTGTCTGATGTCTGGGACATTCTTTTACAATAGTTTTGCAATTAGGTTTTAGTTTAACGCAATTTTTAAACATATTCATGATGGAGAGGAAGATGCAGGGTGTCATAAGGCAAAATAGTCCCTACAGAAAAGAAAATCTATGGCTCAGATTTATCACTATTTTACCATTATCAACATTATGTATTAAAACTCGGACACATGTAGGTTCACTGTCGGTTTGGGTTTGTAAATGGCTATACTGTTTTGGTAGTTGTGATCTCTGGTGACCTATGTAAAGAAATCTGACTGTAAAGAAATGTAAGTTTCACATCAGACCACTTTGAATGTCTTTGTTTACATCTTAAACATTACATTATGCAGACAAATAAGACAAAAATCAGTGGAATTCCTATTCAGTAACATCTCACTAACAGTACCTACCCAACTTAAACCTTTTATCTTAATGCTACTCATCGCTGCCAAAAAGATTTTAACTAAACTGGAAAGACAGAACCCAAATCTCCAAAAAGCCTCAACTCAACCTCCTAACAGATTACTCCAACCTGAAAAACTCACAGCAGCTAAATTATTTAAGGAAGCCTGGTCTCATTTTCTGCAGTATGTACAGGGCTAGTTCCTCGTCCCATACTCTCTGTGAAAATGTTAGAAACGCATAATTTTTTTATTAACCCACGTCATGGTCAAAACATCAAAAGGTGGAGGGAAAAAAGCCTTCTCCCACATACAGCAAACGTTTTTTTCCCTTCATAATGTGATGGAACACATCTGATAAAATCCATATGAATTTGTATTTTCAAGTTCTGCTTGTTGATCTGTGCGCTCATCTCTGTTTCATATATCTGCCCAGTTTGTCTAATGCCTTATCTGTCTGTTGTTGTTTATTTTTATTCACTTTTTCCCCATTTTTCTTCTCCCCTCCCCCTTTTTCTTCACCATCTATCGTTTATTCCCTTGGGTGTGTTTGGAGGGTGGGGCTAATGGTTGGGTGGGGTACACAGCTTCGCGACTACTTGTAATAAATATGATATCTACACCATCATGAATGTCTACACCATCACTATGATTGTCAATAACAATAATGTAAAGGAAAATAACTTTTGTCCCCAAACAGGGGAGTAGTGGTGTGGTGGATATTGGCTGGGGTTCAAAAAACAAAAAAACGCTGGATATTAGATAGCTAGCTGGCTAACCAACATCTGCGAGATAAGCAAAGTTGCTGACTTTGATAGTTAATTTCTTAATAACTAATTAGTAACTAGTTTCCAAAGATGACTATATTGGCTGATCCTTGATTCATTGAATTCAGCTTTTAGTTAAATAGTTCTCTGTTAGCTAGTTAGCAGAAACAAATGTTATATATGTTTGCCCTGATATTTAACTACTTCAGCTAACTTACAGTTTGCTGATATTGTACAGACAGGGACTCTGTCTCAGTTCACAAAGCCAAATGAAAACTGTAATTAAACAAAAAGCAACTTTGTTTTTTCAAAAAAAAAAAAAATAGTTCACAAGCAGTAATTTAACAAAATTACTAAGTCACTTTAAATCTGTGACACCAGGCCTCCGTTAGAAATTCAAACTTGTGTATGGAAAGGTAACAAATGGCGATGGGGAGTGGTAACCCAACTGCTACGTAAAGAAAACAACTCGGCGACTGGTTCATACCATAAACACAAATGTTAGATAATGTAAAGGAGGGTGAGGGATAAATAACCCAGCAAAACTACCCAACTGCCTGAACCCAGCACTTGAGTAGAAAAAATAACCCAGCATTTTTTTAGAGTGTGCAGATGATGTTAGTGCAACAACAGTGCACAGTAGGCCAGTCAACAAGCAGTTCTTTCAGAGAAACTTCTGGGTCTGTCAAGTCTTGCCTTGATTTCAGTAATATTTCTTAATGTCATTTTAGACAGTGAAAGTGAAAGTTTATAAGCAGGATTTACTCAGATATATTCTTCTCTTGCTTTCTAAGAATCAATTGCTTTTAGTTTCAGCTGTTTAGCTGAGCCCATGGCTGTGAAGTGTATGCACCCAAAGGTCTGAAAGATAACATAATTTGCTATGATCTGAAATTGTCTATACATTACTTGGATTAAGGAATAAGCAAAATTCATATTTTGGCTTCTTAACGACCTTGTAAAGCATAGAATTCTCTCACGTTCAGTGGAAAATATACATTAAACCTATAGAGCTTGAAGTAATTGTTTTTACGTAATAGTGGAGGTTTTCGAATAATCCGTCATTTTTGTCATGGAGAAACCCAGCTTAGCTTGGAGTCTCCAGTATTGGCGTGATGCTGGCTAAAGCATGATGACACAACACAAGTGTTTTATATGTCGTTTGAGTAATTATGTGATTTGCCTTTTTCATATCAGATACTTTATTTTCTCAGTTGATGTTAGAGGAGCATTCATGATTTGGATCAGACTACTTCTGTTGCTTTGCACGTTAAGTTTAGATTTTCTTTTTTCTTTTTCCAGAAATAAAAGATGTCCTGTTTCAAGTCGTCTTCTGCAATTTCCTACCCAGCTTAAACGTGTTTCTGTAAACTCATCAGGACATTCCACCAGGAGGAATGTTAAGCTGCTGAAACAGGTTAAATATAAGAGTATGGCATCCAGAAAACATTCCAGTACTGAGCAAACATCATCTGTTACCCTCCACACGAGCACATCTCACAGACAAACACAGAAACAGAGCAATTTAAGAACTCACTACTGCTGTGAGTGTGGAAAGAGTTTTACTCTTCAGAGTAGTCTCAAAATACACCAGCGCATTCACACAGGAGAGAAACCATATCACTGCTCTGAGTGTGGCAAGAGTTTTAATCAACGAAGTCATCTTCAACAACACAAACACATTCACGCCCGAGAGAAGCCGTATCACTGCTCAGAGTGTGGGAAGAGTTTTACTCGACAGGCTACTCTCCAAATACACCAGTACATTCACACCGGAGAGAAGCCGTATCATTGCTTAGTGTGTGGGAAGAGTTTTAATCAATCGAGTCATCTCCGACAGCACAAGCGCATTCACACAGGAGAGAAGCCGTATCACTGCTCAGAGTGTGGGAAGAGTTTTACTCGACAGGCTACCCTCCAAATACACCAGCACATTCACACCGGAGAGAAGCCGTATCACTGCTTAGAGTGTGGGAGGAGTTTTAATCAACAGTGTCATCTTCGACAACACAAGCACGTTCACACAGGAGAGAAGCCGTATTACTGCTCAGAATGTGGGAGGAGTTTTAGTCGTCAGAGTCATCTTCAGCAACACCAGCACATTCATACAGGAGAGAAACCGTATTACTGCTCAGAGTGTGGGAAGAGTTTTAATCAAAAGAGTAATCTCCAACAACACATGCATATTCATAGAGGACAGAAGCCGTATCACTGTTTAGAGTGTGGGAAGAGTTTTAATCGTCTGAATCATCTCCAAAGACACCAGCGCATTCACACAGGAGAGAAACCATGTTACTCTTCAGAGTGTGGGAAGAGTTTCAGGCATTCAAAGACTGTGAAGACACACAAGTGCACTAAGAGCAGTGGTGGAAATGGACAATAATAGTTATAACCGTAACACATTCTGGGAATACAGTTCTCCAGGGAATGGTGCTTGCAGCCCAGATTTGAAACTGTTTTTTGAGGGAAAACCACCTTTTGTTGTTTTGCGCTGCTTCAAAAACATGAGCAAAAAATTAACCATAACTTCCTGTGCTGAACACCCAGTCAAGCCTACAGCTTATACACCCAGTGAGAAGGAGTGGTACTTCAAATTTCCCCCGAAATTAGTTTCATATTCAGTTTATGTTGAAAACAATCGAGAAGCTCCACATTCAATACTAAGAAATTCTTTACCTACTAATTTAGTATATTTTACATACAATAGTGTGTCTGATGTGATAATGGATGTTTTAATGAATGTTTGACAGTGTGCTTAGCTTCTTGATCCCCTCTTTTGCTCCTTTGATTCCTACATGTTAACTACTAGCTTGTTGCAGTAAAGTGCCACATTGTCTTCCTTTTTAATCATTAGATGTTTTCCGTAGGCTTTTTGTTTGGAGTGTTCTTATTGAGGACTGTAATGAAGCGGATATGACCCTGAAGATTGCAATGGTGAAGTTTTTGCTGTGCTGGACAGAACTGAACAATCCTGTAATGGAGTCACTGATGTATGAAGCTATCTGACAGATGTACTGGTGATCTCTCCTCAGTATGGCCTACAAATGTCTGTTATACATGGTATAAAGTTGCATACAGGCCAGACTGAAATTCTTCCATGACCTTTTTATTACTCTTTTCAAATACTTTTTTTCTTTTTTAAAGACTTGTGTTCATATTTTTTGAGATGCTTGGAGAGCGATTGTTCCTTGAGAAGGGCACTGTGACATGAAATAAGGACTTTATGCTTTACAAGACTTCAATGCCCTACAGGAGTTTATCTTAAAAGACATAGCGGTGGTCTATGGTACAGGAGTTGGAACTGGATATCTCCTGCATTGTTGAATTGGTTATGGCATTTGGGGACATTAAAGGCCTCGGGCCTGAGTAAGAGCAACTGTTGCTGACATCATTAGGATGTGCATGATGGACACTTTCTTTGTTGACTAAACCTCACTGTGTCCAGTTATGTTCCTAAACCCATCCATGTGTGCATTATAAGAGGTTTGATTTGTAATTATAATTCAGTATTTGTATGCAATTCTATATGTACATTGTCTAACTTGCATTATTTGCATAAAGGTGCAACAACTTTGACCAAGTTTGTGTTAGGTGGGAAGACGCCTGCAGGTGCTCTTAACTTCTGCCACACTCACTTCCTCCCTCTCTCTCTCTCTCTCTCTCTCTCTCTCTCTCTCTCTCTCTCTCTCTCTCTGTTTTAGCTTGCTAATTTCTTTCTTAAAGCCTTTAAGTTAAGCCTTTACATGTGAGGTTATTCGTGTGTTTGTCAATGTGTGAACCTGTTGAGATTATTTTTCTCCATGTTTATCTATTTTTATTCTTTTAATAATAGTTTTCTTTTATGTTCCTGTAAACCTGAAAAATATCATATTAAACTTTATGATCTACCACTGATGGTCTACTCTTTTTAGCCTTTGGGGTATATCAAATCATAAAAAAATATGAATAGGTATTTTTCATCTATTTCTAAATTTGATCTTAGTCACGCTGTGGTATATTGTCCAACATTAGACCACCTTGCATTTCTGTTTGGTTAAAAACTGGCAGGCAATACAGCCATTTATTGTATTCCACTACGCTGTATAAACTAATAGATGCAAACTTATTTTTAATTTTGTTTCATACTGTAATCTACTTCAGAATCACTTTATTTTGTTAAGTGTTTTACACAAACAAAGAATTTGTCTTGGTGAGTAGCCTCTAACATGCTGAAACAGAGCAGACAACTATACAGATAAGAAATATTAAAAAGAGAAATACAAGTAAAATAAAGACATTATATATAAATGGGCTATAGGCCAGTGCATTACTGTTCCTGTTCCAGCCATATCTTCCTGCAGGTCTTTGGCAATGAGGTGGGGTCTTGCTTTGCATACTTGGCCAGCATACATGCATTGTTTGCAAGTAAAATAAGAAGTGTAACTTTAACACATTCCAGGAGTAAAAGTCTCCAGGGAATGGTGCTTCCGGGCCTGATTAAAATTTTTTTCTTTCAATGACTTTCGTCTTTTCTTTAGTTTTTGGGATATATCACATCACAGTTTTTCTAAAATTTGTACATTTTTTTTTTAGTCATGCTGTGGTAAATCTTTCCAACACAAGAAAAGCTTTAACCTGCTTTAGCTTCAGATCCGGGGTTTCTTAGTTTTCTTTGGCAAAAACTGGCTGGTAATACAGCCGTTTGAAGGATTCTGGCGCACTATCTGACATAATGGAGGGAGACTTACACGTACTAGCAATCGGTCATAATGAGTGCACACAGGTATCACATGTAACACACTGAAACAGACCAGACAAGTATATGAACTATAAGAAATATTAAAGAGAAAAAAAGAAAGTAAAAGTCTTTTTTAGTGAAAAATATATAGAATATGATAAATAGAATGAATAAAGATATTAAAAATGGAAGAGCTAGTGCAAAAGAAGCTAAAGAGATACGCTATATGGACTAAACAATTGGGACACACCTCTTAATCATTGAATTCAGGTGTTTAATTCAGTCCCATTGCCACAGCTGTATAAAATCAAGCACACAGCCATGCAGTCTGCCTTTACAAACATTTGTGAAAGAATGGGTCATCCTAAAGAGCTCACCGAGTTTGACTGTAATAGGTACTGTAATAGGATGCCATCGTTGCAACAACTCAGTTTATGAAATTTCTTCCCTTCTAAGTATTCCACAATCAGCTGTGAGTGGTATTACTGAAAAGAAGAAGGGTTTAGGAATCAGAGCAACTCGGCCATAAAGACCATGTAAAGTCGTGCATAGTGCATAAAAATCGCTAGTGTTCTGCTCAATAACTGCAGAGTTACAAATCTCCTCTAGCTTTAACATCAGCGCAAAAATTGTGCTGCTTCATGGCATGAGTTTCCATGGCTGAGCAGCTGCATTCAAGCTTTACATCACCACACACAATAGCAAGCGTCAGATGGAGTGATGTAAAGCATGCCGCCACTGAACATGGACCAGTGTAAACGTATTTTGGGGAGCGATGAATCTTCTTCAAGAGGCTCGTAATGAGGCACATCAAGACCCAGCTGCCTCATTCACTGGACCCTCTCCAGTTTACATTCCACCCCAACCACTCTACAGATGACATCATAGCCACCATTCTTCATCTGGCCCTTACTCATCTTGAGAAAAAGGATACTTATGTTACAGTGCTGTTCATAGACGTCCGTTCAGCATTCAATACCATCATTCCTCAGCATCTGATTGGAAAGCTGAGCCTGCTAGGCCTGAACACTTCCCTCTGCAATTGGATCCTGGACTTTCACATTGAGAGACCACAGTCGGTCCGGATTGTGAGCAGCATCTCTAACACCATCACACTAAGCACTGGAGCCCCCCAGGGCAGTGTGCTCAGTCCACTGCTGTTCATTCTGCCTGCTCATAACTGTGCGGCAGCTCACAGTTAAAACCACATCATGAAGTTTGCTGAGAACACTACTGTGGTTGGTCTCATCAGCAAGAATGATGAGTCAGCGTAAAGAGAGGAGTTACGGTGACTGGTGACAGACTGGTGCAAAGTCTACAATCTATATCTGAATGTGGACAAGGCAAAGATGGTAGTTGACTTCAGGAGAGAACAGAGCAACCACTCACCATCAACAACTCCTCATCAAGTTCCTTGGTGTTCACTTAGTGGAGAACCTCACCTGGACCCTGAACAAAGCCCAGAAAAGCCCAGCAGCTTCTCTATTTCCTGCAGAAAGTAAGGAAAGCTCATTTCCCATCCCACCCTTCTTACCACATTCTGCAGAGGCACTATAGAGAGCATACTGACCAGCTGTATTCCTGCCTTGTTTGGAGTTGCAACACTTCCAACCGCAAGGCCCTGCAGGAAATATTGAGGACAGCTGAAAAGATCGTCGGGGTCTCTCTTCCCTCCATCATGGACATTTACATCACACACTGCCTTCGAAAAACCACCAGCATTGTAAACGACCACACATGCCCCTCACTAGAGGTGGGTGATATGACCAAAAATGTCAGTCGATAACAATACATATCACGATAAATGTCAAATCATTATTTTGAATTAAGTTTGAAGGCCGATTTTTGAGTGGTAAACTATCCTTTATGATCGGAACATGACAAACACTTGCCAAACAGTGGAACATTTCACAAATCTGTCATGGGGTAGTGAGAGGAAGTTTCTGTTTAGCTGTTACCAGCTGGAAAAGCATGGCTGCAATTTTTGTAATTGCCATAATTTAGTAAAGAAAACAGATTATTTTTAGCTGTCTGGTGACGAGTGCTAGGCTATCTGGTTACTAGTGCTAAACTGTTTAGTTTCTCAACAACTTTGTACGAACAAACTGCAAATATTAGCTGGCTTGGTAGGTCAGTGATGGATCACACCGCCTTACTGCCATCACTCCTACCACATCAATGTCAGAGCATATCACAGTATTCAAACACAAGCTAGCCGACATCTGGATTTCTCTATTCTGTCGTAATAGTTTGAGGGGTGAACTGCAATATATCTGGCCCTCGCTTGTAAAAGCATTAACTGCAGTGTGATTCTCTCACACCAGACAAACAAAGTCATCCTTTTAGTTAAGTTTAAACTGAAATCAGTGCTTTTTTGTCTTGTTTGATCTACAGTAACATCAATTCGCTGTGCTGTGTGAGTGACAGAGCGCTGCTTAAAGTTAGTCAGCTGATAAAAACAGCTAGCCTGGGAAACTAGCGTTCTCCCACTCTCCAATGCCACACAGACATTCTCAGTTTATTTAAATCAGTTCACTTTCACTTTCAGTTTCACTTTCACTTTTGTTGCTTGGGAATGCACTAATACTAAAATATGACTGAGCACTGTAACACAGCGCTGTAGTTGTGAGATTCAGACATGATTTAATGTTGCTAAGACTTGTTAGGATGTTACGATAGAAGCGATTTCGCCTCAGGCCAGTACAGTTACGCCGCTTATCTCGTCAATCACACTTGGTCACAGGAGAACAGATCGCCGATCGCTCTACTCAAACAGGGAATGTATAACTCCACGTGTCAGACATTGCTAAAGTATATTTGGCGACTCGTTTTACTCGTCACCGCCTCCCTCTCTAATCATGTAAAACAACTCTTGTGGCGACAGCAGAGTAGTGTCGCTTTCCTTGCAGTATAAAAACACCACCAGGGCTGTCGCTAGAACGTGGAAGTGTGAGAATGGTCTATTATAACGAACATTTATCGAACATTTCTTATAGTTCTATCGAGGAAGGTATATCGCAGTAATTATCGTTATCATTTTATCACCCAGCCCTACCCCTCACACGAATTGTTCTCTCTTCTGTCATCTGGAAGTAGCTACTACAGCATCATTTGGGCCCTCACAGCCAGACTGTGCAAAGCCTT